TGTAATATTCGGGGCCAGCCTCCGTTCAAATTCTTTTTCATGGTCAATTTAAAATATAATATAGTTGTCGGATAGGAATGGCCCCTTGTGAATCTAATTTGCGTCTCTATTGCCGGAGCGAACCAACTTAAAGATTTTGATGGCTCTATTACCAGACCTGTCATGTCACACAATATATTTTTGTATATTAAACATTCTTAGGTCAAAAAATGATAATTAAATATTTATTCTAATGTATGGAACCTTTGAAAAAAACTGAAATGTTTCTCTATAGGTATTTACTGAGTATATTTTACTTATGTAATGATTTAGTTCCCCCGTTTTTTTTTTATATAAATTGGTGAATTCCCAATAATAACAAACACCTCCATACACTTTAAAATTATCTTAAAATAACAAACTAATTAGTTTTTTCTAACTTTAATTCCGATAACAAACATGTGGATTTCATCCGGTCAATGTTAATAGTTAAGATATTTTTAACTAATTTAATTTATTAAAATACGAAACTTGTATTAATTTTAATTATCTAAAAGACAAACTTCGTTTATATATGTAATTTTTAATATAATGATTACCATTATCAAAAACCAATCAAATCAAAAAATATTTAAAAAAAACTGTTCATTTCCGACTTATATATTTTAATTTAAGTTACATTTTATACTTATAATAATATTAAATACAAGTATCGTAATTTGGACCCGGAATTATTTGGATGTGTTGTTAATAAAACATCGAATTTTATAATATTTAACATATTTATAAGGTCATTCGACCTTATAATATCTTTATTTAAAGAGATATTGTTCATGTCTTTAATTGATTATTGATATAAGGCCAGTAGTGTTGTGGTCCTGTTTTTGATAACTTCCCGCGTGTATTGTTTAAGAGAACATGCTTTTGTTTCTTATATTGAGTGTGTTTAGTGCTAACATTAGTGTAGGTACGACTTACCATAGTGAAAAGGTTAGTAAAGTTTATGTATACCAAAAATAACCTACGTTTTCCATAGTTGAAGTTAAAAAAAAAATTGTATTTTTTTATTAAAACTACTATTTGTTGTATTTAGTTATTTTTTATCGTCTTCATATTATATTTGACAAATAGCCTAAATTAAGAATTTTATTTAAATTTATTAACATTAAATATTTATATATATGTATTTTTAATATATTTTAGATGTACCTAATAGATCCAGTTGTAGGATATATTTCAAAATAGTACGTTTTGTTAATCATTCTAATTTTAGGAAAGAAAGATGATTATGACATTTTATTTTAGATTTTTATTTTCAATAAATGTCCCTAGAAAGAATACTGGATTTGGATTGACTTCATTGATTATTAACTTTATTATTTTTTTCTGCTAATGTTTGTATTGTTCTGAAGCCATCTAATTATGTTCTATACTCTAAGAAACATTTATTTAATTATTATCTGTTATCAACGGATTGTTATATTTCAATTGTTCTAGCATATCTAATGATGTGCTAATATTTATATGTAAATAGATATTATTACAATTAACTCAACTCTTTAAGAAATACGTACAAATTTAATACCGCGTACTTTCGTTAAGTATTTTTTTTTATATATGCCACTGCTTGATTTTACCCACCTCGCGCTCCCCGTAAACAATTGCATAGGCATATACTCGTACAACAGTGTAAATAATTCGCGTTTGAAAATTACAACATTATGCGTCTGACAAATCTTTGAAAAATAGTGTTTTTGTTGTTTTTTACTTTGAATAGATGTAATGACCCATAATAGAATGTTTTACATAAAAAAAGCAAAATAGCATTTTTGTGGCATACAACAACTTACGTGGGAGGTATCGATATATTAAACTAAATACTGTTAAAGAAAATGAAATATCATATGAAATGATGAATTGATATCACATCTTATTGTTAACAGATAATTAATTGTATAAAAAAATGTATTTTGCTTGTAACTCCTTTAATTAATATATTTTTTGACACTATGATTGTAAAAATTGTCTATGCTTTCAAACCAAAAAAAAATGAGCTGCGAATACAGTTTCTTGTAGTTTATTTCTGCTAGTTTAAATATTATAATGAGTGTCATTTCTATTACATATCTATTAATTCAGCATAATATAAATATCATCGTGACAATACGCAGTGTTATCTATTTCTGATTCAGTATCCTAACATAATATTGTAATGTGAGTGTTATACAAAAAATTTGCAAGCGCGTAGTACCTATTTACTATTTACCTTCGATGTCAACTTTGAATAAGGATAGGTAACTGTTCTTTCTATAAAGCAGATGATTTACATTACTATATAATAACAAAGAAGTATCCCATTTTAATATAAAATACACATCAGTTATTAATATTTGATTCAATGTTTACTTACGTACTCTAGAATATGAAACACTAAATGAGTTAAATTCAAAAATTTTCATTATAAATAATTTAATTCTACGTCTTAAAATATTCAAAAAAGGCTTTAAAACTTGATTTTTGAAACTAATATTTTCGGTTTTACTACGCCATTTTTTTATTTTTGACTATAAACTACATACTACCGACGTTTCGGTTACTTTACAATAACCGTGATCACGGTAAGACGATAAAAAATAGAGTTGTAAATCCGAAAATATGGGTTTCATTTAAATGAGAACTCGCGAAAATATTGCCTAGCTAGTTTTTTTTATCTAAGCTTAATTCTTTTGCGTTAATCAGACGCAAACGCAAACCTTAACTCTCATTAAGTACAAAAAAAGCTAACAAAACTCCTAGAAGTATTGAATATATTTAACAGTTAAGTTTCTTAAAGTATCTCAGCTAAATCTCCTTCTCAACTGTCATACAACCAACATGTTTGTATTTGGTACTTTACATAAAACTAGAAGCATTGAGCTGTATAGAAATTTGTTTCTATAACTATATAACATAATTTGTTAAATGAAACAGAATAATTCATACAAAAAAAATCAACTACAAGGAAAAAAATAATAATTTAAATATTCTGTCATATAGTAGACAAGATTATTTTACTGCATGGGAGGTAGGGGAGGTATGGGCAGTTGGGAGATATGGGCAACCCCTTTTTATTCTGATTTGATTATACATTTAATTTTTTTTGATTTGGTAGTTTACTTTACCGACTGAGAGCACTGTTCATCCATAGACTATCTGTCATTTCTGTGAGTTGTCAAACACAAACACGTTTGAAGGTTATGCGCTCGGAAAAGTAAATATTTTGTTGGGAATTCGGATCGTAATAAAAAGAAAACTAATGAAAGGTATGTGTATTTTCTATTATTTATCTATTGCATATTTACTAATCTATAAATTAAACTGAAATTCAAGCCTAAATACCTAGACGCAAAAAAATACCGGTAACCTAAGTCGAAAACGTATACAGAGGGAGCAATGGGCATTTGGCGCGCGGGTGGTTTGGGCATGCCCAATGCTTCCTCCTATTATGTTCAGTTTAGGAGGATTTTTAATATAGCTAGTGTCCCTTTAGACGACATTAAAACTAAATTGCCAGTACCAAAGACATGCAATAAAACCAAACGTGGTAGCTCTAAGTACACATTTGATAGTCCTCTATGGGTTATACCCAATCTCAGATAAGTTGAGATACTATTTAAGATGTTTTTATACTTTGTAAACTTTATTTTTGGTTTCTGTTATTTTTATAGTTTAATAATAGTTTATTTATTAACTAATTTTTGTATTCCATTATGGATATAAAGTGATTTATAGGCTGTGCCCAAGCCTCCCACAGGGTATGCCATAGTCTCCCTACCATAGGGAGCATTGGGCACTATTGACATAGTTTATAAAATATCTCGTAACATAGAAACTGTTTGTATTTTTTAAGAAAGCTCTTTAATTATATCTAGTCAAATGTGTGGCGCAATAACACTTGGCAATAAAAGTTGGTTATGTATAAAATCAGATTTTTTATGCAATAAATAGTGTAAAAGTGCCCATCCCTCCCCTACCTCCCTGTGCACAGTATAATTATGTTTCCAATTATCACTTTAACATATATTAAGCAATCCTTTTGTATACAGAAGATAATTTCTGGATAAAAATGTATTTAAAGCTAATAAACTTCAGGAAAACTTTTAAATTACCTTTAAAGTTACCCAAGAAGCAGTATCAAAAGAATACAAGGAGGTTGGTATCGGTTCATTTAAAACAATTCTATCAAAGGAGGTAGAAATTATTGGATTCTAAATTAATTTAATCCTTCTATTCCATTTAGAAGTAAAATCTTGCATCATTTGGACATTTTGGTTCTACTTGATTGATAAAGCCATTTAAATAATAGTTATGTAATACAAATATAGATGTGGAGATAAAAGAGGTCATATACACTTATAATTGGAAGTCAATTATGAACTCTTGACCTTCAGATTAAAAAATCACATGCAATAAAAATATTTATAAACTTTGTAAAGGATAGTTGCAAGTCATTAATTAAAAATCTTAGTGCATATAGTTTTAAAACTTCTGCATTGGGAAGGGCATATTTTTATAATGAATTGGAACCTATGTTAGTCTAAAATGAACCAATTTTAACTGTTTGTGGACAGAAATTTTATACTTACTAAGAGTTGTAACCCAATAAATATGTAATTATAAAGTTATAATGTGATTTTGAATAAAGGTTTATTTAAGACTGGCTTATTTATAATGTACAAATATTTATATTGTCAATACGTTTATACTATGACATTTCATTATCTTATTCTGAACGCATATAAAACATTGTTCTCTAGCCAAATGTTTGTTTGGCATTATTGTGTGCGCGCACTTTTATCATAACAGTCTAGACGTTTGCTTATAAATATCAGTATCTACATAACTTTTTTTGTAGGTCAATCTCATATTTATTACGAGTTTTTACGTCATAAGTAATAATTGATAACAAGTTATCGTTTGTCGAAATTATCATTAAAGTTTCAGCAAAGTGAAATACAGTGTAAATACAGATTTTAATAGAAATGGTAAGAAATCTTTAGATATAACATTTTGTATTATATTGAAGATGAATATAAAAAGTAATCGTGTTATAATTTATAAAACATTATATGACTGTTGAGAAAAGATACCTTTCATTTTAATTTGTAGATGAACATGCGTCAAAATGGAATTTTTGTGAAATGTCAAAATTGAAATTGACACATATTTCAAGAGAGCATTTATAGAGACTGATGCTTACTAGGGAAAACGAAATAACTATGTATGATGAAAAAACTATCCATGATTATCTTCCTGTTATTGTATATAAATTATATATTTATTTTTTCTTTATAACTTATGTTATAAAAATATAAAGACATATTCAAAACCCATACAGCAAAAACACTGTTAACAATATACTGTAATTTATTTATATAAGGAGTTCTTATGTGGATAAAAATTAGATTTCTTGTCAAATTCTGTGTACCATGAAATACCGATTCTAAGATTAATATTCTAAGAGCTAGCAACGTTTTTGAACAAGCATTTCAGGTAGGCTAGTTTTTAGATATGCTATCTCTCACACTCCCCCGGACGTCCTACGGGCTATCTGGCTGCCGGTAGTGGTTGCGTTCATCAGTGCGCATCGTACTTGTGGAGGTAAAAAATTAATATATCAAATCATTTTAAGAAGGTTTTTTTTATTATTATTATTATTATTGAACCATTCAAAACATAAATTTATTATTGCCAGGTATTTTTATTGTTGTTTAAACGGTGCCAAGCGGCAATTTTGAATTAAATTTTTTTTTTTTCAAACTATTTTAGTATAGCTGAAATTTTAATAGCATGATATTTAACTATCTAAAAGCTCAGAATTAATTTGCCAGGAAAAAAATCGGTTGTTAACTTTTGCCAGATCGAAATAAAGTGTAAAGAGATGTAGTATCATTTAAGCTCGGTCTAGAAAATTAATCGTCTAATAAATGATGGAAGAAGGATTAACAACTATTGAATTTATTTATAGATGAATACGGTATAAAAATAATACTTTATTGTTGTACAAAATTGAGAAAATGATCAATGTTAAGTTTGAAAAAGCGCTCTGGCTACCGAAAGACTAACCGCTTCACGTATGATTTCTAAAACCCTATCGTATAATTTTGAAAAAAAGTTCCGTAATTTTGATCCATCAAGTCTACCAACGAGTAAAGCTGAGTTATATCAACACTTACTACGAGTTCGTTATGTCACAACGTTTTGGAGAAATGCTTATTTAAAATACCCAACATCTCTATCACCTCAAGCTTCTGGCTGGACCATTAATGATGATAAATATGATTTTATCTGGTTTGTTGGGGAGCAATTACCAACATTAGTTGCCGATATTATTATTAAAGGTAAACATTTGAACTAAAATACAAAAAAAAAATATTTCTCGAAAGATATTAAAATTTTTGATTCTATTACAGATAACAGCTTATTACAAAATGATAATAATTTTAAGGACGATGATAACAATGGAAATGACAGCAGTGATGAAGATGATGATCTTTTTCAAACTTAACATTGATCATTTTCTCAATTTTGTACAACAATAAAGTATTATTTTTATACCGTATTCATCTATAAATAAATTCAATAGTTTTTAATCCTTCTTCCATCATTTATTAGACGATTAATTTTCTAGACCAAGCTAAATGATACTACATCTCTTTACACTTTATTTCGATCTGGCAAAAGTTTAACAACCGATTTTTTTCCTGGCAAATTAATTCTGAGCTTTTAGATAGTTAAATATCATGCTATTAAAATTTCAGCTATACTAAAATAGTTTGAAAAAATAATAATTTTTAATTCAAAATTGCCGCTTGGCACCGTTTAAACAACAATAAAAATACCTGGCAATAATAAATTTATGTTGTGAATAGTTCAATAATAATAATAATAATAATAATAAAAAACCTTCTTAAAATGATTTGATATATTAATTTTTTACCTCCACAAGTACGATGCGCACTGATGAACGCAACCACTACCGGCAGCCAGATAGCCCGTAGGACGTCCGGGGGAGTGTGAGAGATAGCATATCTAAAAACTAGCCTACCTGAAATGCTTGTTTTTTTGACGTTGCTAGCTCTCGTACCATAAAGAGTGAAGAGATCGAATTTGCTCAAAAAATATTTTTATCAATCCTTTTCTCAAATTTTTATTTCTTGTTTTAGAGACTGCCGTATATAAAGAGAATAGAAATATTTTTATGTTGTTAATTATCTATAATTATTGAAAAGGTTACATAACGTACCTAAATATCGACTTTTTTGTCTTTGAAATGTAGATAAATATTGCAAATATCATTGAAGAAGAAGAAAGAAATGTAGATAAATATTGCAAATATCATTCATACCTACACTCACTGGTACACCATTTTCAAGTATTTTAAAATTTAAAAATACATAACAGAAAATCTAACACACGCTTACTTAGTGACTCAATGAAAAAATATTTGTCTAAAAGCTGATATTTTTCTTAAAATCTTGCTTATAAAAAGAGTTAAATACTTTTATATGCATTTTATTTCTGTTAAAACTCCTCTTTTTAACATTAAATGAATGAAAGAATTTTTTTTAACTGGTGTTTCTTTCAACGTATTCATACCTTGTTAACTAAATATTTTAACGTTTGAACATTTGTTTTAGGGGAATATATCAAAACAAAGAGTATGCATTATCGGCGCTGGGCTAGCCGGGCTGACATCTGGCAAATATCTTCAGGATGAAGGCATCGACTTTATCATACTGGAAGCTACGAAATACTTCGGCGGTACCTGGCGTTACGATCCCAGGGTCGGATATGATGAAAACGGTTTACCTTTACACACAAGCATGTACAAACACTTGAGGTACTCAATTTACATAATTATCACTGGTATATACTCTTATATAGTCACATTGCCAACGTTTTATCTTCACACGTTGAAAAGTTGTTTGTAATGAAGTTTTTTTATGAAGGTGAAAGAAAAAGAATTTTACTTTATCTTATTTAACCCATTATATGCATATATAGGACAAATCTACCAAAGCCCACAATGGAACTGAGAGGTTTCCCTGTACCAAAAGATATGCCATCCTTTCCGAACTGGTCAATTTATTATCAATATATCAAAGACTATGTGAAGCATTTCGACTTAGAAAGACACATAATGGTAAGTTATTAGGTAGTTGAATATTCTAAGATTTTGGTTTAAATTTTTTACATATATTTAATATTTTAGTTTGAACACAATGTTGAACTGGTTTCAAGAATTGGAGATGTATGGAGAGTGAAGTATAAGAATTTGGTTACGGGAGAAAATTTTGAGCAGGAATTTGATTTTGTCATCGTTGGAACTGGTCATTACAGTGATCCGAATCTGCCTGATATACCTCAAGAGAATATTTTTAAAGGTAATAGAATATTTATCATACAATTAATCTCAGGCATTAATTAATGACTAAAACCTAGTATAAATAGCTATAGGATTATAATCGGTTGATTGTCGATCTATACGTAAGAAAATACAGGTTCAGCTATGAAACTAAACTGTTTACTTGTACTATAAAGATAGATTAAATGAACATTTTAGGCACTATAATACACAGTCACGACTACAGAGAGCCGGATCGCTTCAAGGATCGTCGAGTTCTGATAGTTGGGGCCGGACCTTCGGGAATGGATATAGCCATAGATGTGGCTTACGTCAGTAAAACCCTCGTCCACAGTCACCACAGCCCCGGCTTCGGAACTAAATCCTTCCCCAAACATTACATCCAAAAACCTGACATCAAAGAATTCAATGAAACTGGCGTCATTTTCAAAGATGGGACCTATGAGGAGATTGATGACGTCATTTATTGTACGGGTTCGTCAAATGCATTTATTTGACAATAATTTTCGAACTTATAATACCAATTAGATTTAAATGAAAATGTTTAATAACAGGATATAAATATAATTACTCGTTCTTGGACGATAGCTGCGGTTTGAAAGTAACCTCCCGCAGTGTGACACCGCTTTACAAGTATATGGTGAATATCAACCAACCTACTATGATGGTTATGGGTTTAATAGTGAAAGCCTGTGTTGTAGTCGCTTTGGATGCACAAGTACGTAAATACATACGTCTATGAAATTTTTGTCTGTTTTTTTGTATAGAGACTTATAGCAAATTTATTTCATTGTTCCAGTCGAGATACGCGACTGCATTGATAAAAGGAAATTTTACTTTGCCACCAAAAGAAGTAATGATGGAAGAGTTTCAAAATCGATTGGAGGACGTCAAATCTAAGGGGCGACCTATATCGGACATACATTTTCTATCCGACAAAGAAGTAAGTTCTAACACCCATTACATCACTTATATATATAAAATTAATTGACAAAAAAGTGTTAATTTTCTAGATATTAATATTTTATTTTCTTCTTACATTTCCAGGATGAATATTACATGGCATTGACAGAAGAATCTGGTATAGACAGAGTGCCACCAGTGATGTTTAAAATACGAAATGTTGACACTATTGCAAAAAAAGAGGATATCTATACTTACAGAAATTACGCCTACAGTGTCATTGACGATAACAATTTTATAAGAAGTCTAGAGAATAATATTTAAATGAATCATTATATTTATATAATTTAAAGAACAATCAAAATTTAAAATACTGTATATATGTAAATTAATCTTTTATGATAGATTAAAAATAAAGTTAATGAGGATTGTTTTATTTTATCTGTGATAAAAAAATACTTCAGTCTCAAAAAGTTCATATATGTATATCTGGAATATATTGACACCGTTGACATGGAAGCGTATTTAAATAGGTATAAAAAATTATACATATTTCAATTTTTTTATTATTTTAAATATATTGGATGAGTTACATCACAATGATCATGCTATTTTATTTTAGTTATGTTCTTTCTAAATGATTTCACAACATATTACCAACGTCATCAAAATAAATAATTCAAACCATTCATTATTACATTTCTAGTTCTCTATATTGAATAAGCTTATATGTTATGTTTAAATTGGTCTAGAATACACTTTTATATTAAAAGGTTTTTTAAATAGTCTGAATTTTCAAATTTCGAGAGTTTTCAACGTTGTTAATGTAGTTAAAAACGTTAAAACCGTATGTTTTTAGTTTTCAGGAAAACAATTTATCTTATTAAACTTCTTATAACTTTACATCTTTTATGGGACACTCCCGCTGTCTTTCTTCCGTGTGGTTACGAATAATTTTAGTTGTGTAGTTAAATGGATCAATGATTTTGAACTCGTAATCTCTATAGTGAAGGAGGTTTTGTATTAGATTTTGTCCATTAAAATTTATTAAATCCACCAAAACTGGCGGGACTCTGTTAATATTCGCTTCTTCGGTTATATCTTCAATATATTTTTTCTGAAAAAGGAAATATTTATTTAGTATTGTTGATAACATATTTGAAATGTATGTAAAACATTTCTTAGAGTTTATTCGTAGAGGTTTTTTTATTAATCAATATAATATACGTATATGATTTGTTTGACAAAATTTATTATATATTTATATATAATTTCATTCTTACCACATGGGGCACTATGTTATGTATGTCATTAAGCTTTTTGTTACCATTATCTAACAGCCATTTTTCTAACATTTTTTCTTGAGGTGGTACCTTAAATTGTCCTGATATCAATGATGCAATATAATCCGCCTAAAAAAGTACACGATGATTTGGAAGCCTTGAAAATATATCATAAATAAATAATAACATTAAACTTGCAAAGTCTCAAATCATTTTTCTATGGTATAGTTTCAATATAAATGTATGTATTTCATACAACGAAAAGGTATAAAGTAAAGTAGACATAAACCTGGATAGAAAAATTATATACTAAAGTGTTTTATTACAAAAAAAAACATAAATACATCAAATTAATAATAATTACAATAAGATATAAGGCGTAGAAGAATTATTTTCTGTTCCATTGATTGATCGATTTGCGTTTTGTTATTTTGACAGATTATATTTATATATTTATTACCTGTGCATCTAATATTCTATTCATGAAATGCTTTATAACGCCAATGAACAACATAGTGGGTCGCCGTATATTCACTATTTGGTTGTGGAGAGGCAGAACGAAATGAGTTGTCATTATTAAATCACTGCTTTCGTCTAAGAAAGGATAGTCTCTCTTCAACCCTGAAACCACAAAAAAATAAAAAATAAAACTACACATATATGAGAATTTGCAACCCGTCTTTCCGTGATCACGGTTGCTGCAAAGTAACCGAAACGTCGGGAGTATTTAGTATAATAAAACGTATAGTACCTAATTCGAAAATATTATTTTCACACATTAACATGAAAAAGATTTAGCCTTTTTAAATACTATTTTTATTTTTATTATTTACCTGTGGCGAATATAACATCTTCAACATCTTCGAAAGTCATATCTTTAAAAATAACTCCATTTGATACAAATGCCTTGATATCCGGTTTTTTAATGTACGATTTAGAGAAATATGGTTCGTTGTACTCTAAGTGATGGCTATGTACCAACTTGGATGTGATGTTGCTCAATTGTAATGCCAAGTCTAAACCAGAAGGCCCGGCTCCCACAAGGAGTACTTTACGATTTTTGAACAACTCAGGGTATCTATAATCCTGACTGTGAATTATGTTACCTGAAAATATAGTTTAGAGTAAAAAAAGTTGTTTTTTTGTCAGCAAACAGATTCTATGTATGATTTAATGAGATCTAAGATTTTCGCGAGTCTGCTCGTGATCACGGTTGCTGTAAAGTAGCCAAAACGTCGGGAGTATGTAGTTTATAGTCAAAAATAAAAAATCGCTGTAAATCCGAAAATATTTGTTTCATTTATAAATATGTTTTTTTTACCTTTAAAATCATTAATTCCTTTAAATTTTGGTATGTAAGGTTTTATGTATTGGCCGGTAGCCATGACTACATAATCGCAGAATACTGTCTTCGTTTGATTATAATGAGGGCGGTAATATGACAATTCCCACTGTTTGTTCTTGAACTTAACTGACACAACATAGCTACTTAACTAAAAACAAAATTTATTACTCTAATTTTACTAGTTTATATTGGTATTACAATAAAATTAAATATAATAAGTTTTGCTCAACTTTTCTTTTGAATATTTTGTCTCTATTTCTAAAATTAATGGAATTATTTTATGCAATCTTTTTGAGATTTATTTAATGGAATTATAAAATTAAAACGATCTAATAAAAGCTTTATTATTAGTTATACATTTAGAAATATGTACTTGAACGTAGGGCATCAAATGAAATTGTTTTACGAAGGATTTAATGTATTTGTAAAAGCAAGTTCCCGTTGGAAACGTTGGAGTGGATTCTGGGAATGCGAAATCTGTGAAAGCCATACTTTGCCGTGGAGAATTTGTTCTGAAACATATTAATTACTTAAAAATAAAACATACAATTAAGTAGTTTATTTAATAGGAATTGCTTGTTTTACCTTAAATATTTGTATTGGCTGGTGGAAACTGGTACGCCGACTTCATCTACGCCTACATTTGGGTCGAATCTCCATGTTCCGCCGATATTCTTGGTTCTTTCAAAGACAGTGAAGTTCTGGTCATACTGCTGCAAATATCTGGCAGTAGCCAGACCAGAATAGCCAGCTCCTATGATGCACGTATGAGGCTTCTCTAGCTGCAAATAAATATGATAAGTTTCATATTAAAAAAAAGTAATGATATTCTTTTTGAAATGAAACTATGATTTTCGGATATACTGCGAAAATTACTGTTTTATGCTCCACGTTTCGGTTATTTTACAACAACCTTGATAACTAATATGTCATGAAATGAAAGCCCTGTGCCATTATGTGCAATAATGTGAGATACGTAAAAATACTGTACTTTTTTGTTTACAGAAAAAGTCCATGAAAGCTTTTCTCTATGTTATAAAATTTTACGGGTGCCTTACGGCAAAATTAACTATTTTTAAAGAAAGAATGATTAGAAAATTAATTTTCAGCTGGTAATAGAAGTAATGAAAATACGAATTGGGTATGTAATAAATAAGTTTATACATTCCCTACTGTACACTATTAACAAGTTGCCCTCTCCAAATTTTCATCGACAGCGCCCTCTAGTAAGAGATGTGTAAGAACAAGTGTTTAAGTTTTACGCCCTCCATTCATAGTATTCGAAAGTACTTACGATTTTAGGGAACCTTCAACAGAAGTCCTATATCCGTATCGCCTAACAGATGGCGCTTATGGTTTTCTTTTATTTATAAGGGCTCTATAATATTATCTGATATGTACCAATAAAATTAATGGAATTTTCTAGTTATAATAGTTAATTATAGCTTACAAATACAAAGAATATTATAATCAAATTTATATAAAATTTTAAAATCTATTGATTTACGTAAGTCTTACAGTAACATTTAATTTAAACGAGGTTTCCTCGAACAAGTTATAATTTATGTTTTTCCTCGGTCTCTGTATAAAATACAAATCTAGTTTAATATAATCTGAAATTTAATAGTACAAAAAATATATTCTTTTTTCGCTGAAAAGTATGACTGGTTATTATTTTATTACACAAGCGTTACATTATATAATGCTTTATTTATTATTTATACGTGAGTCAATATATATAAAAATACTAATATACTTTAAATATATTTTATATTGCTATGTTTATTAGATACAATACATTATTTATGTATACGTGAACAGTTGATTTAAGCGTCAGCGTTTTTTTTTTATAATTTGTAACTTGATGACAAGGTGGGTCAAATTAATCTATTAATCAAATCTGTAGAGGTATTCTAAGTTTTCCAAATTAAAACGTATAAACATAAAATATTCCAACAATTAATACATTTCTGTTCCCTTCCTTCATTTCTATGTCAAATCTCCTTAAAGTACTGTTTTAATCATAGATGATTCTTTCTCAAATAGCGATTTATTTAAGGCTGTGAAAGCTGTGCACTTTGAGATGTCCTTTCTGAAGGTAACGAGTATTGACTGATTTGTTCCCTTGATTGAAGTTTACATTTCCTGGTATATTAAGCCAAGAGTATAATCAACTCAACGACGTTGATAATGCTTCCTCGTCTTCTTAAAACATCCATTTGAAGGTGGAACTTTAGCTCCAAAATCGTGTAACAATGATTTTATATTCTCACCTTAGTGATAACGAATAAAAAGGAATATTGATATAATGATAGTAGTGGATATTAAGGTCATTTCATAATATCTTTCGGTAAGAGAATTTTATCAAACACATCATTAATATTAAAGTACGACCACAGGATTTTCGATTCTTCTCATAAAACGCTTATATTTTAATATCTATATAAAATAAAAAAAATGTTGTAATATTTTTTGTATTGAATTTCATAAAACTTTTTTTTTCTTAGACACACAGCAATCATTATTTGTAGTATGTGAAATTAATTTAAGGTCACACACACACATATATATTACTCGTAAGAGGCGCCACCCGGCGGCAAGTGTTGGCTAACGCACTTGCTTCCGCTACTGGCTTACTAAATATTGTCAAGAGTTGCCGCATTTCACGTTTTTACAAATATTAGTTCCAGTAAAACATAAGTATTTCTTATATTATTATACTTTTCTCCTTGCACTTACTTATGCTCGTCCCACATTGCCTTATTCATTAATGTTCTACAATCCAAATTGTATTTATTTCGTTTTCCATAAATACTTAGCCTATGGGTAATAAGGCCTACAAAATTTATAATGAGCCTAAATAAACTTGTGCCACTGAAAAACCGCTACGAAAAAAAATGAAGAGTTGCCAAAAGTGATTAATAAAATAGGACAAAAAGAGCTGTAATTATATTTAGAGATCACTGAATACTAATTACAAATATAATAAAAAAGAAAAAAATGTAAATTTAAGTTCAATAACACGTATTATGGTATTAAAATTCAAAACTGTGTACTAATTTGGAAGTGGATGGAAGGGTCACAGCCTTCAATAGCCTAGCTATGTCATTCGGTTTTAACATTATATAAGTATAATAAGAAAATACAATAGCTATAAGACTACTCCACAAATTATATGACTTACCTGAATAAAACCATTTGTAGCACGAAGAAAGATCCAGAGAAAGAGCGAAACAGAAAATCGTGTCATATTTGCTCATATCCTTACACTATACGAAACTATGACAAATAACTGTTTATATAACACAAGTATTTATTTATTGTAACACAATTACCAATAACTATCTGTTTAAATCGTTACTGCATCATAAATAAATATTTAGACGTTTGTAAAGAAATTTTTGCAGGTATAGGCCACCTTTTTAAGAGGTAGAAATGAAAATATAACATGTTTAGTGAGAGCTTTATTAGTTTATACTACAGGGCACCTTGAAAATTGATATCTGCTGGTCAGATTATTACAAGGGAAATGTATCTTTATCTACCACAGTATCTTGTCGTGACTTTAAACTCATTACATAATTTATGAGTACATAAAGCTGTGAGTATCTACTATTAACATAGATTGAAATTAATGCAGAATATTCTAACTTTAATTTTATTCATTATATATGATTCATAAGATTTTTTAACATGTCGAATTGAATTTCTGATTATTTGCCGTTTATTAAAATGATACATTTTTCCAAAGATTTATAATTCTTTTTGATTCATTATTTGGTAATGGTATATGTTTGTATAATGTATACATATAGTCTTATGATTTGATATGTCTCTGAATCTCATATATTTGCACATAATATAAAATATACATTATCATCATAATAACACTACTAAACATAGGCCTCTCTCAAGTAGCACCACTTATCCCGATCATCGGTTACTCGCATCCAATTTCTGCCAATCACTTTATCGTTGTTGCATCTGGCTGGGGGCATTAAAGGTTACTTCTGCAGATATGGATCTCCACTGCAGTACACGCTTAATCCAGTTGTTATCCAGTCCGGTTGATAACGGTTGATGAGTCCAGCTAACTTTTACTTCAGCTTACAAGCTCAGAGAGCAACGTCCAACGACGAGCAATTTCGGCTAGGATCGGCCAATGAGTCCACTCCAGTTTAGAAGACGTCCTCCAGTCGTCCTCCAGACGACTCCAGTCTTAAAGACGTCCTCCAGTGCATTGGTGAATAATTTGGAGGAGATGATATCTTATTGTCCGATGAAACATTAGTCTTATTTGACAGCCCTGAATATAGACTGACATTGTAGTTTTGTTATTGAGACTTCTCAACACTTCCAAATAACGATTGTTGACCAACCAGATCTCGATAGTCGACATAAGCAAAGTATCATTATAAGGGCTGATTGTACTCTTATATCCTCCTGATTGTACTCCTCTTCGGTACAATGTTCCATATTGTGTGGATGTGAAAAGAAGAAAATACGCGTAGTAATACATAGTATTAGTTTCATTTTAGTTCTACTGCTTGTAAGGCCTGAATTAAAGACTCCGCAGAACTCCCGAAATACAGGAGTAGTAATATGTGAACCCGCTTTCAATATCTCCGCAGTAATTCCATTCCCACCTGCCGGGCACTTAGGGCTTATCCATTTTTAAATTACCCGAGGGGCCACTCAATCTCTTCAAGACTATCTCTTCAATCTAGAACCTCGTTGGAAAAGTGACGATACAGTAGCCCTAGCATCTTGGGGCTAGGTTACGAAATCTTAGAGGCTTACAGTCTATCGTAGATGTGTTCGATCTCACTGAGAAACTCAGGATTTGGCGTAAGCACAGATGCATCCTCGGTTTTCTAACTTGTCACAAATCTATTATCAGACTTTTGTAGGAATGTTTTAGGGCTTTTATTACGCTGTAATCACGCTTATGCTCATTAATAGTGATGTTAGAGTAAATTACCTTCTTCCTTTTTAGCTTTCACTCTATATTTAGAATGAAACGAAGAAGTCTGTAATCGCATCCAGTATGGAACCTATTGATCACCAGGACATCTCTGAGTAAAGTATTTTTGTATTTGTTCAATATAAATGTGTTTATTGGACAGTTTAAAATATTATTTTTTTCTCTATTATTTATTTATTTATGTATTTGTTACCTAATATTTCATTGTGATTATCATTTTATATATCAGATTTTGCAATTTGATAGTTATAAATAATTGAAGAGTTCTTCATAGAACTGTATATATATATCTACCCAGCCGTATTCGGCTATAGTGACTTAGCTTTGTTTTATAGAACTGTCATTGGCATGTAAAAATATAATTCATAATATATATAATACTTTTAATATTAAGCACTATGAATATTAATTTATAATAAGAGATGAGACAATTTTTTTTAATCGTCGGATTTTTTTACTTTATTTATAGTTATGTAATTAAACAATTTTGATTTCGTCAGATTTATTTTATTTTGTATGTTTAGTAAAAATAACCAAACCAACTTATATAAATCAAACATTAATTATTTACATACATATATACTTAAAAGACCAATACATTATTTTCTATTTATTATTATTGAACACTAGGATTGCTTTTTAAACCTTCCATACTTTCCATAGAAGATATTTAATTAATACAACACATTTTTAATTTTAAACTTATATCATTAAACACTTTTATATTATACAGAAAGTTAAAAATTTGTCACTTATAAATCTCGTCATAACCTTTTAAAATAAGTTAATTGACGAGGAACGTAACTACATATACATATTTATCAAAGCGGCAACGTTTACGATTCAAAGTGCCTTTTAAAAAACAAGAAACAAAGAAGCTCGATTGTACATATAAAAACAACATATTTTAACAATCACATTTAAAAATAATATGAGGCTTTTAACAAATATTTGTACAGTTTAAATATAAAATAATATACCTAAAAACTCATCTAATTACGTACACAATTGTGAAGAAAAAATTTCGTCTAAAATTTGTTAGCTGTACAACGATTATAAATCTACATCTTGTATGGTACAATTATTAAATCTATCTTCAGTAACATTATAATTCCTCCAGGACTTGTAATTTTCGGAGTCAATGATTTGATAATCGTAATCTCGGTAGTGTAATATGTCGTCTAACAAATTATGAATGCTACTTGCTATGATGTCGAGAATGACTGGTGGCAATCTTGTGACACCGGCTTCCGCGGTTAGGTTTTGGAAATATTGATGCTAAAAACAAAAAATACATTAATCAATGTGTGGTATTATATAAAAAATTAAACAATTAAACATAAAGAAGTGCTCTAAAAACAGATGGGGATCATAGCAGACTAATGCTTAACCTGTATTATTTTTAGCTTAACTTCGTTATAGGGAAAATATACATATATTTTTTTTTCCTTAAAATTCTTATTAATTATCATATTGTTACCAATAACAATATGATATGATATGATATACCAATATAGGTGTTTTAAATCTTATCAATTGAGAACCAAGGTACAAAAAGTGATTATATTCTTACGGGTTCCGTTACAAAACTGTTGACATCTTTGAGTTTTCGTGGTGAATGTTTATTCATCCACATCTCTAGCATTTCTTCTTCAGAAGGTAATTCAAATTTTCCTGCTATGAATAATGCTATATATTCAGCCTGTAAATAAAAGTACATATTTAAATATAATGAAAATGTATGATATCAAAGCTTGTTAGAAAAGATTTCAAATAAACGAACAAAAATTATCCATACTCGTTTTTTATATGCATAGTCAAATTTTGTAGGAAACTTGAAAAGTTTAAAGAGTACAATTTTAGTTTAATACATAATTTTCCACAATAATCTCTAGATTTTTATAGTAAAATAGTTATCAGAAAGTAACCGAAACAGATTATTATTATCAATCCAAAATCACAGTGTAGAGGACACTACTTAATAAATTTTTTTAATTGCATTATTCAAATGAAACTCAGCAAGTTTAATTGAAAAGTAAAAGTGGGGCTCTTTTATTTAATCTCATTATAAAAAATGACTTAAAATGGTTTTTATACTCCATTTACAGCTCCTCAATCAGGATCTTAGATATACAAGTCTTGACACAACATTTTTTTTTTGTAGATTACGAAGTATTTTAGTTGTTTTTTAATCTCAATTATTCGAAACTAACTCAAGTCACAAAACAATAGAACCATAAAAATTTTCTTGGGATTAAGAGCAAGAGTATATAAAGAAAAGCCAAATACCTGAGCATTCAATATTTTGTTAATATATTGTTTAGAAATCCCGATGAACATTAAACTGGGTTCTCGTATATCGATGACTTGGTTGTGCAAAGGCATCACATACCTATTCGTTAACAATAAACCACTACTTTTATCCAGGAAGGGATGATGCATACGATAACCTGAAATAGTAAAGAAAATAAAATTATAGAGCATTTTCCTTAATAACCTAATTAGTATTGACTTAAAAGAAATAACCTATTTACCTGTGGCCAGAATGACATGATCAAGTTCTTCAAAACTAGAGTCATTAAAGTATACGCCATTGTGTACAAAATTTTTTATATCTGGTTTTTTAATGTAGTTCTTAGGAAACTGTGGTTCATTATATTTGAAATGATGGCTGTGTACAATTTTTTTAGCAACTTTCTGCAATTGTATTCCTATATCTAAACCAGAAGGTCCACCTCCTACTACAAGAACGTTGCTGTTTTTGTATGGCTCAGGAGCTTTGTAGTCGTGACTATGAATAACCGTACCTAAAATTATAAGCAGTTTATGGAAAAATCTAAATATTTTAAGAGTAAGTCGGATTTCAGACTTTATCCTCAAATGGGTTACCTTCAAATTCGTCTAAACCAGGAAACTTTACTACATGCGGTTTATTATATTGTCCAATGGCTACAACCACAAAGTCACAATACACTGTCTCATTTTCATAGGTATCAGTTCTAGTGTATGTTATTTCCCAATTATTTTCCAACTTCTTTACCGATTTCACGTAGCTACGAAGCTAAACAAATTGCACAGTGATTATTCCTTATTACAGCATTAATGTATAAAGAGATTCATATGTAAAAATTAGTAAAAATATATACATATATTAAGTATTATTAAAATCAAAGGCGGAAAAAGTAGATTTTTGTACTTATATTATGGAAACTATATCTCAGACACACCGCTAACTAATTCCTATTACCAATTACTTATCTTGTCAAAAATTATTACGGACAAAAATAAAATATAACAAACATGAACAAAATTTTTCAGGAAAACTAAAATAAATTAAGATATGTAGTATTTCCGTCAATTTTCATTTTAAGAAACATAAGTTTTAATAGTTATAAGGTCATCTTTTATGTCATGCTGTCATGCTAGATCAAAGATACACACTTATATACATGAGCAAGTGCAAAAGTTATGGTCTGCTTGTAAAATGTTTACTCAAACATCTTTGAGAAGCATTTTAAAGATATTTATATATTGTTTTCGTTTTTATATTAGCTGTATATATGTACTCACTTGAATGTACTTCATCAAATCAAAGTGTTTTACGAACGATTTTATGTATTTGTAGAAGCACTGCCCGCTTACATATGAAGGGGTGTTGTCTGGGAACGGAAAGCCATCGTATGACATAGTTTGCCATGGCGAATTCGTCCTAAAAACATGTAGAATAAAGTGTTTAATTTTATACAAATCATATTCTTATTTATATTAAATGATAGTCCAATCTAATAGGTTATATGAATAAATCTGATTATATAAAATTACTTTAAATATTTGTATTGACTTGTAGAGACTGGTACACCATCTTCATCAACGCCGACGTGGGGATCAAATCTCCAAGTGCCACCTACGTATTTCGTTCTTTCAAGAACTGTAAAGTTAAGACCGTACTGCTGCAAATATCTGGCAGCAGCTAGGCCAGAATATCCAGCTCCAATAACGCAGGTGTAGGGGTTTTCGGGCTGCGAATTACCAATCAAATTATATATTCAGTAAGGTGTATTATTAATTCATATAAATAATCAATCTACTCAGTTTAAGCAATCACTCGCATAGTCCAAAGGGTTATCAGAATAGCATAGTCTAAAACCAAGTTCAACTGTCAAGTCGCATCAAAGAGTGTGTAATTGATAATAAAACAGAATAATTGAGTGACTTATATGATCAAGAAATTATAATAATAAATATTTTATCTACCTACCATTGCCTAAATACCATTGCCCTTGTAATATATAAGTTTTGTCGTTTTTTTTATCTTAATTTGTACTGTATTTGTCATATATTAAATGTTTTGAAGATTATTTTTATATTCTTATACCAAGTAAGTACTATCTGGTGCGAAGCCTTTTTGATTATCTGTTTTAAAGGTAGAATTTTATGTTTTGATATTATGAAAGCCGCATCTAAGGTAAGATATTTTTCCCTAGATAATAACTACAATAATATCTCTCTATCTCGGTATTGTTCCAGAAGGAAGACGCAAAATTTTCCATTATTATACCAAACACAGCGTTAGCACCTTTTTTGCGTTAGCACCTTTTTTGAAAAAAATGATACACTAATCTGATGAGTCTACATTTATACAATGTATTGCAAAGACAGTATTAAAAAGTCAGAAGAAAGTGATCATCTCCTATTACTTAGTAGATTGCTGATTTATAAGCACATTGATTTAAGACCTAACAATATATACAATTTAAAAGTTTCCACGGGTACCAACCAGATAACCGAAACCTTATCTTGTATAACTCAAAGACCACTAAACCTTGACATGGAAACTTCTAACACTGACCGCAAATGAATTTTAGATTGTGAAACAGAAAAGGTTAATATTAATAATTAATCAATATTTGTAGAGCTACCACGAGTTTGTACTGTCACACAAAATACGAAACGTTTCCAGTTTTGTATCTACTGTTGCGATGCAAACGTGTGTTAATTATAATAATAGATTGTTATTATTTTTTCTGTTGTTAACTGAACACCGCTTATCTGTCATTCAACCTACTAGGAGTTTGGCAATAAGTTGAAGGCTTTTGAGGGGTCATAGTAAAGCGAGAATTTTAGTGCTGCTGTCTCTCCGATATGTGGTAGCGTGTACCCAAAAATACCTAGCGAACCGATTTAAACAAAACCAGTACTGTCGGTCACTAAAAAGAGCATTGTCATCCAAACATGAGGTTTTCGTTAAATATACGTTCCATAATCTTACAGGTAATGAGAGTTATAAAAATTTCAAAGCTTCTAAAAATTTAGGCCCTATATCGGTCATTAAAGAGAGGTGTTACAGTGTTATCAAACACTAGACCATAATCCAAACATATTTGTAGTAGTAAGGCTGTAATTTAATCCCGGCCACTAAGTTTGTTCACCACAAAATGACGAGGAGCTCTCAGTGCCTATTAATTAGTAATATGCACCCCTGTCATAAAGGTGCAATAACCATGTACGTAAGGTGGTGCGCAATGGCTGTTGTCAAGCAGGAATTTTGTGCAAAAAGAGAAACTAGCAGTGTTGCTTTTGCCTAATATCCCATAATGTTTAGCCAGAGAAGATAGTGATGATTTTATAGAAGTTTGCCTTGACCGCGTTTAGCAAGTTCTATTGCCGGAAAGTTGAACAGAGAGTTCAACGCCATAATAATTACAAATATCGATATACGAATTCTTTAACGACATTTTGCTGGTGATACCCGAGAGTGAAAGTGGATGTAAAGTAAGCCGTATCTCTAAGACGTAGAATTCACTTCTGTATTAAGAAAAGCAGGTTCTTCTCTATTGTATATACTAATCGGTTGACGACATGACTTTTTCTGAAAAGTGGAAACAGTGGCGAGCGCGATGTTGTGACCTCTTTTTAATGTTTCACCGATACATAACATTTTTGTTTATTTATAAAAGTATTGAAACGTGAAAAAATATATAATATATATTCAAGTATATATATATGTTTTATGTTGGAGAGTCACAACCGGCACTCGGAAGGAAACGTCCGAATTTTTTTTTAATTTAAAAAAGTAACTCAGTAATATTTATTAACTAAAAATTGATAATTTAAAGTAATTGTCACAAAATTTATAATATTTGAAATAACATTCAGATGGAATTAAAATATTTTAATAGAAATAATTATTAATAGAAAAGAAAGACGTTGTTTATCTATTTGAAAGCTAACAACGATTTTACTAGAAATTATTTTCAATAAATAAATAAAAAATAATCTACCCTAATTAATACGACATAATTTTTGTGATTATATAAAATTACTAACACATATTAAACAATATTTTGAATATATGAAATCATGTTATTATTATTAAATAAAGTTTGCAATTCACAATAATTTTGCTAAAAAAAAACAACGGAAATATTGTACTTACCGCGACCAATCCATTTGTGTGTAAGATAATATTTAGATATAAGAAGAACAATGATATATAAAACATTGTGACTAAATCTATTTCGTGCACATACCACTAATCATGACAACCTAAGGAAGTAGACTAGCTAAAATCGTCGCACACATTTATATAAATAATAGTTTGACACGACAAACGCTTGCTATAGAATAATTATCCAATACATTTGAGATACTTAAATAAATGACTTGCTCTTTCTCACCTCATACAATTAAAATAGTATCATATTTGAAATTTACTTCCGAATATTGTGATGGCATTATACTAAAATGACGATTATTGGCTATTCTTATCAGTTACTTCCAGGGTTAATTCCTTATCTAAATTATGTTAGTCAATGACTATTTATTGATCATTTAAAGAAATATTAATATTTACCAACTAAACAGTGACTTAATTTGAAAAGTTCCTAAAGAACTTTATAAGGAAATAGTAACTGTATGTTAAGCACAAGTTTTTTTTCCCGTCACACTTCATACGAAGCATTACCTGTCATTCTCTCCATAATGTCCAAATTTATTAATAAAAGAATATTTTAATTGTAATAAAATTTAATATAATTCTAGTAAACTCTCCAGTCTTTAATATAATTTTATAGAAAATGTTATTTTTCCCTTAATTATAAATTCTTTTTAAGCGTCATTTATATAATTTCTATTTATCACGTTAAGTTATATTATTATATTTATTGACATATAAATAACATATTTTTTTTATTATTTATATATAGATATGTTTATTTTATAGTTTATGTATATATACATATATGTGTGTAATGTTTATATAAGTTTATATTATTTTATTTATGTAATCATGTTAAAATCTTTATTTTCAGATCTCATATTAATTTTTTTCTTCTTACTTAAGGTTATGTAAGTGGATGACGTTGCTTAAAGCCATAAGCCCGCCTTTATAAATATATTCTTTTATATAAGTCTTCTCATTGTTAAATGTTATGTTAAATAAATAAAGATTCTACTTTACTTATGTTATTTTCTTGGTGCTGATAATTTTCATATTATTTTTCTTGTATGGGCTCTATTACGATCAAAGTTTATGCCGACTCTACGATACTCTTTTCAAGTATTGCAAACAAAATCTTTTAGACTAATATACAGAATACATATAGTACATACTTGTGAATTAATAATGAATTGAATCCAAATATTTTATTTTTGGTTTTCACTATAGTAATTTAGAATATCATTCTAGTAATTTATCAAATAAAAGTTTAGAGTTAAGCGGACAAAGTTATATATTAGTTGATGCTTTTCTTCGATTCTCCCTTTCTTCGCGTCCTCATGGTTAAAAACGTGATCATGAAAAGTTAATCTTGCCACCACAGTTTTCCAGGCCTCTCGTTTCTGATCCAAGTGCAAATAGGCCTGCATTACAGTACAAAAAAATTGGGAATATCTTTATATAGATCCCTTATAGTTCTCGGGCAGTTTGTAATTTAAAGGAAATCCGTTACTCCCTCTCATTTATTTGAATGAATAAAACAATAACATAACAATATTTTTTTTAAAGTTTCATGTTACCTAAGTTGTCTTGAGTATTTATTTTATAAAGGACCGATAAATAGTTAACTTTCATTCATATTTGAATAAACTGAATATATATATATATATATTTTGGTTGCTTTACGTAAGCATTTAGAACACTATTTTATTTCTATCGTTTCGTCATCAGCCTACCAGAGCCCACTGCTGAGCAAAGGTCTCTTTCTCACATAGAGAAGGTTTGAGCATTAATCACCACGCTTGCTCAAGACGGGTCGGTGATTTCAAACTTAAAATTGTGAAATTATAAATCCAGGCTTCCTCACGATGTTTTCCTTCACCGTCTGTATTTCTATAATTAATATTATTTGGTAAATACATTTAATACCTAATGTAAATTGTTATTTCGTTCATATTAACTTATGCATTATACTCTACAAGTTATTTTGTTAAACCAAATTGGGTAAAGATTGCACCCTAAAAAGCGAACTCAGGAAGTAATAAATAAATATAAATAAATAGGTCTACCAAATAACTTTTAACTAATATAAAATTCTATAAAATAAAAAACATCAAAATATCCGATTTTTTATCTTTAAAATAAGAAAATGTAAAATCAATATAAGAAAATTATTACAACGATTCAAACGTCATTTAATATATGTATATGCATTTTCATATATGCATACACTTAAAACAAGACATAATATTATCAATGAATGTTTATATTATCTTAAAGAATTACATATTAATTAACTATAAACATAAGAATAAATCGATTACTTATATAATACGTGTATACATCTAATGTTGCTATCTGTAAAGTAGAAATATCCAAATAATTAATACATATGTATGAAAGATGATCACTTAAGAGCACAATTATTCGGACCACTTTGGATATTTTATAACACCTTCTTCTTTTATTCTATACAAATAATAGTAACTAAAATTTTAAATTTTGACACTTAACTTTTCTTTATGGGAAAAGGGGGCAATCGATATCCGTAACGAAATTTGCGGATGGGTTGCCGCCTTTGATTGCCGAAAACGGGGAGGA